TCGTGCTGAATAGCGGTGACGGCCACAGACTAGTTCAGGTTCCTGACCTGTAGTGCTTCTTTGTTAAATCTCGCCAGGTAGTCTCTGAGAGATTTTGTCTTCCTCTACCGCACTTGGATAAGGCTGGCCGAAGTCTTCCAAAGCTTCTAGCTTGTCGTGAATCGTGTGTGGAACTGGGTTTCCAACTGCTCCCACGACGCTATGGAGCGTGGAGGTAGAGAGGAATACCAAGTTAGGGTTGGGCCCGTGAGGGTGGCCACTAGGGCTTTGCACATCAGGCCCTCAGAGGATCCATGTAACATCAGTTGAGCCTTAAGTGCTTCGATGTGGTCGGTAGGGTCGGTATTCCCATCGTACTTGTCAAGCTGAGGTGCCCGCCACCTTGTGGGAGGCACCTCGTCCATGATCTCTTGGACGAACAGTGGTTCCTTGGTGGTTGGTACAACTGGCTGCACGGGCTGATCTACAGGCGATACCGTGCTTCTCTGAATTTGGTTGCGCTCCAACTCCACTAAGCGTTGTCGAATCTTCCGAATCTTGGCGTCCTTATTGTCCGGGACCGCAGTACGTGGGGCTCTCTCCTTCTTTGGCCGTGTGGAGCGGTCTTTCACCGAGTTGGACTCAGCAATGGAGACCACACAAGGTGGCATCCGCTTTCCGAGCCTCTCTTTAGCGGGGATCCACGTAGTTTGATGCGTCCTACTGTGGTTGTGAGACTCGCAAGAGCGGGCTGTTGAGGCGGATTTCCTTCTGTGTCTTGCTTGTCATGGTCGGACCGTGCTCCCCTTTTGTCCAGCCGGCGCGCTTTGGGGTTCTCGGGGGCGAGGATCATCCTTTGTAAGCGTCAGGGCATGAGGGGGGACGGCCTGGCTAGGCGGTGCCGCGAATCCTAGTGTCTGCATTATCTCGAAGACCTTGTCATCCTTCTCTTGCATTATCTGGAACTGCGCAAGATCAACTACGGCTGGAGGCTAAGGGATTTCTTTGTGTGGAGGGATGCGACGCCAAGATTCCCGTGATGGGGATCGACATGTTGATCGTTTGGATTGGTTCTTAGGCATCTTGATCGCTTTCTTGATTGTGCGGGAGGGGAGAAAAGATTTTAGAAAAGGCTTTTTGTGCATTTCCCACAGATGGTGTCAATCTAATGTTGCTCAGTTCGAAGTGGTGCACAAACCGAGGTTGTAGTCAGATAGTCCTTGCCAACAGGAAGGAGCCGAGGTGGAAGGACGGAGCCGCGCTTCAAGACCCGTGATCAAGAAAGGATGTTAGAGGCCCGAGGAGTTATCCCCGGGTAGGCACTCCGATGCTCAAGTCAGTAGGAGGTGGTGGATGGTCGGGCCGAGCAATAAGGGTGATGGTCTAAGCAGAGTAACGGTATGGGTGTCAGAAGTTGGAACCCCTTACCTTGAGCGGGAGATACCTCTTTATAGCCAAAGGTTCGTGTCCTGCTCGGATTGGGCTTCCGGGGTTGGTGGGATGAGATTGACCGCCGAGGTCTTTGGGATAGAGTCTTATTCCCTAGTGGAGCTGTCCTCCTCCCTCCTATCCGTAGTCGTGCTTATCCGCGTGACGTGTAGCTGACGTGGCTGAGAGGATAAGATGGGGACTACAATGATTGCGTAGCGCGGCCATGGCCGCGGAGTCGATGTATATCACGGAGCTGGCCAGACCATGCTGATGTGGCTGGGGATGATCGGGCGATGACTGGGTGGCCACATATCATCTAAGGCCAGCTCAACCATGACCCGAACAGTTGTTATCTGGTGTAAAGTAAAATATCAATTAATAATTTATAAAAATATATTAATATTTTAAGATTTATATCATATACAAATTTATAAATTTTAAATACTAAAATAATTATTTTATTACTAATATTTTTATTTGTATAAATTTATTGAGAGTAAAAAATCATTTTTTGATATAAACATACTATTGATAGATTTTTTTTTTAAATTTTATTAAGTAGTAATTGTGAACGTAAACTAATGGCATTTCTTTTAGATTGCATGTTTACAATAAAGTCAATACAATTTATTTTATTTCATTTATCATCACAAATTAAAAATGGCTTAATGGCTTAAGATACTACGCTCTAAGTGGCATATGAGTTGAGAATTGGATTTGAATTTTACTAGTGGTATTTTTGAATAGAAGTTGTATGAGTACATGAAATAGACAGGCTTGGATCATGGTCTATACTCTCAAAAATACAATCATTTCTATTTTTCCATATCATCTATAATAAATATATTGAAAAGCATAGCATCAATTCTTTCCTATTGCCCAAATTATAGTAGACATCATACCACAAATCGAATCATGATGCAAAATTATTTGAGTTGTAGAAAATTTCTATTCTAATATTTATATAGCTGGCAAACAAAGAAGCTTTTGCATGGACACAAAAACAGAGCATGAAGTTCAGATTCATCTAATTGGGCAAATAGGAAAGTCAGTTATCCCTTTGTTTGTAAGGCTTTCCTTTATAGCTAGAGCATTCTAGCAATGCTTCTTTTCTAGAGTTATTTCAGTAGATTGGGCAAAGATTTCACCTTGGGATCTATGTTTAGAGCCCAAATCTTCTTCCAATGCTTCTTTTCTAGAGTTATTTCAGTAGATTCTATTTGAGATTAAACTGCAACTTGATTTTCAGAATTAACTACCCTACAGGAACCTTGTTCCAAGGTTTTATTGAAGCAAAAAAGTATAGAAAGAAAGAATAAGAGAATTTGGCCAAACAAGCGAACAAATTAATAAGATAAATGACAAATGTGATGAATAAAAACTTAAAAGAAGAGACCTAGAAAGGAATGATTTTGTTACTTATTTGGTGGAAGATAATCCTAAAACATATCAAAAAGTTATAACATCTGAAGATTCATCTTTTTAGAAAGAAGCTATTGATAGCGAACTAGAGTCAATTATGACTAATCATACTTAGGAATTGATATACCTACCTCCACGAACTAAAATTATTGTTTGTAAGTGGGTGTTCAGAAAAATACTAAAACTCAATGAAACCAAAGATAAGTTAAAGGCAAGGCTAGTAGCAATTTTAACACCTATTCTCTAGTAACAAAAATAACACCCATTAGAGTCCTAATTGCCATAGCATATATATACAAATTATTCATACATTAAATAAGTCATTATGTGGGCTTAAACAAGCCCCTAAACATTGCAATGAAAAATTCAATAGTGTTGTAATAAAAAATGGGTTTGTAGTAAATGATACATATAGTTGTGTATATAGAAAATTCAATAAAAAATTAGGAGTAGTAATTTGTTTATATGTAGATGAAATCTTAATTTTGGGTATGGATTTAAAAGTAATTGAAAACATATAGAAATTTCTCTTACTTAACTTTGGTATGAAAGGTATGGAAAAAGCGGATATAACTCTAGGAATAAAAATTAATAAAACTCCTTATGGCTTGGCATTGAAACAATCTCACTATATTGAAAGAATGTTAGAGAAATGTAATCAATCTAATTGTGTGCTTATAAAAACACCATATGATTTTAGTGTTAAATTAAAGAAAAATAATGGTGATGTTATTTCTCAACATGAGTATGCTAAGACTATAGGTAATTTGATATTTTTAATGAACTATAGTCGTTCGGATATTGCCTTTGCTATTGGGCTATTGGCAAACAAAGTACATATACCCAATGTTTTCAACCCGCCATTGACCTAACCGGTCGAACTGTTCAAACCATCACTCGGCCAAGATTTCGGGTCTGATTTAATCAAGGTCTGACAGTTGGTCAAAAACTGTTGACTTGGTCAAGAACCGGTCAACTTGTCTATTTCAACCATTGACCCGTTCGACCTAGTGGCCGAGTTGTGAGTTGCACACACAATGCATACAAACCTTTTGGAGGCTTAAACTTTGCACTCCGATGTTTGATTGGGGTGATTGTTTTTATTTTGGGTAACTTTTCGAGATTTGTCCATCCCAAGGGGCTATAGGCACCTTGCCCCACTATTTTCACGAAAAAAAACCCTTTTTGGCCTCCAACTGCAATTTTTACAAATAAAAAGTTAAAAAACATTAATTAAATAAAAAATAATACATATAACACATCTAAAATATACCTATACATTATTTGTTGCTAAAATATATATTTACACACACACACACGGAATGGGATCTACTCCTCACATAGGAGTGCCTCACATGCACCTCCACCGTGCATTGGGAAATCTGCCGTGAATAATAACTTATAAGTACGGGAGATGTTCCCAATGTATGGTACGATGTGCGTGTGAGGCACGAGTGACGAGCAGATCCAGTCTCCACACACACACACACATATATACATATAGAGGCAAAAACAGTTCGGCCTCCATGTCGGTTTTTAAAACATTGCATATACCCATAATCTCAAACGTAAACATTGGATTGCATTAATTAGAATTACCTAAAAAGTACTATTGACTTTGTATTACATTTTAATGGATACCCAACCATGTTAGAACATTATTGTGATGCAAATTAGGTCTCGGATTCTGAAGAAACCAAATCCATTAGTGGGTATATATTTACCTTAAGACAATGGAATCTAAGTCCATTGCCTAAAAACAAGCTAGTGCGGAGGCCCAATGGCTTCGATCTTGAAAATCCTGAGAAAAAACAATCATTTACAAAATTTGTTGATGTTTACTTGAATTAAATTTTTTCATTCCAATTTTGATGGATTTTGATGACATATTTATGTTTTTATTTTTTTTCTTGATGATTTTCTCTTTGGGATGAAGAGAGAAATCCCTTCAAGAAAACCAGATTTTTTTTTGGTTAATGAAATTACCTTTGATGCTTCACTAGATTTATCTCATACCTAAAAGGCAATGCCCTAAATGAAACCCGGGCAAGCTTTATTTATTTATTTCCCAACAAGTATATTCCCTCTTCGCAAGTGTACTGACGAAGTAGGCTTCCAATGGGCAGCAGCTCCATTTCTCATAGCGTCTCTACGTAGATCCAAAGCTCTAAACGATAACCTGAAACTGGTGATAATGTCATTAAATTGGCGATATCATATCTCTGCAATAATACATTATAGGCTCTATAAAACATGCCAATCAGCGCCCCCCCCCCCCTGCTTTGCGCAAACAATGAGAATCCTCTTTTTCTTTTTCTTTTCTTCTCTCCTTTTTTCCTTGTATTCCTTTCTTAGACGGTTAGACCAGACACTTTAAGTTTATGGGCAATATTTGATATTTCACACTTTGAGATCATTAATCTTCTCCAAACCGGTGCGATGAATGTCGCGGAATTTTCTGAAAGCTGCAAAACTTCATCGTTGTTGGTGGTGTCCTCATCGTTTAACCGCTTGATGGCCGACTTCCCCTGCATGGGGAGCATCAGTAACAGCAGAGCACTACAAAGAACAGGAAAAAGACGGCCCAAAATCTTCTCAATTTCATAAAAGCTCCCCCTCTTCTTGTTCTCCTTCAGCATCGTCAACTTCATTTTCCTCATCTTCTTCAGGTGCATCAGGATCCACCCCCTGCAAAAATCATTAGTTCAATACCTAGGACATGCAATGAATCTAATGTAATCAGAAAACAAACCTTCATCTGCTTCTCCAAGCGCTCTAAACCTTTCTTTGCAGCTTCGTTTTGTGGATTAATCCTGGAGTTCAAAACAAACATGTTTATGGTGGTATCACAATGGGGGCATTATGGCAATGTGATGAATGTTTAGCCGTTAAGTGTAAGAAAATAAATAATGTTAGTTACCTTAAGGCAGCTTGATAATGTGACAAGGCTTCTTCCAACATATTTGTTGCTGCAAATACCTGCGCTAACTTGATGTGAAGAGAGTCATCTGCCCAGTCCTTGAGATATCTCTCAAGAAGAGATACTGCATCCCCATTTCGGCCCTCAACAACATGGAGTTCTGCCAAGGCCAGTGCAGCCCCAAGGTAACCAGGCTCTAGGCGGAGGGCAGATTCATAGAATTTTTTTGCCTGTTACAAGCTTAAGATAAGAGCTCCTAATTCAAACCAAAGAAATGTAGGCAATGCCGTGGTACTGGCTGGTCTACTTAAGAAAAAAGTTTTTAAAACGTAAGTCTAATCCAAACCAAAGAAGTGGCAGTATCTGCTCCAAATAAACAGGTATCCAGCCCGGTATGGTCTTAACTGGATACAGGTTTCATAAAACTTAATTTTGATGGCAGCAATGGAGTATGCAGCTGAATCACTTAAGCTTTAGCCCCAAAATAAAAATACGTCAATTAGGAGCACCAACTGGCCCTAAAAAGGAGCTTATTCTTAGAAGGATAGGGAAAGAAACAGATTGAACTTAACGGTAATGCAATGATGAAGCAGCAAGTATAGGAATTCCAGAAAGTTAGAATCTGAAAAGGCTTTCTGATGTGAATGAATTTACATTGACAACATTAAAAAAAAATACCTTTTGAGATCATGTTATGTGAAGAAATATATACATTCTGGACTAGAATTGCCAAACAACAGGAATAGCATAAAGTGTTGGGATTTAAAAGAGGTCACAATGGATCCACAATTGTGATTGAGCAAAGAAAGCAGTGCCTTGAATGGAGTATCCTTTTACCAAGACTACAAGATTACTTTTATGTTTTCGATACATACTTATGGGCACCAAGCATGTACACCCACTTTACCCTTGTTCTTTTTGTTCTTTGGGGGGAGAGGTGGTGGTGGTGGCTATTGTGAAAATCTAGCAGACCAAGAAAGGGGGGAACCAAATAAACAGAACTTGAATACCATCGTCTTGGATCGGTAATAATTTCCATTCATTATAAATTATGATGCTGATATGATATTGTTATGTGATTACCTTCTCCCTCCCACCAGGATTACTAGCATGCACATCACCAACTAATTTAAGAGCCTTTGCTGATTGAGGCATGGCCTTCATCGCCTCCCTGGCAGTATATAAAGCCTCTTTGATTTTGGAAAGTGACAAATAAGAACGAACCAGGCCTGACATTAACACAAATTCCTCGTCATTTGATATGTAATATTTGTTCATTGAAATATTTAGGCTGTACCCTGTACTGCAGTAGCAATTTCTGTTGCAAAAGCTAAAATAGCAGAATGAGTTTGGTAACTTAAGTGATTTTTCAAGGCAATACTCCAAAGACAAAAAAAAAAAGGAAAAAAACGAAGTAAAGAACTCAAAATGTGGTAAACAAATGCAACATTTTACTAAAGTGCTGCTCTTCTGCTTCATGAGGCACAAAAAGCAAAGCAAATTCCAATGCAGCATACTTAACAAGTAAACAGCTTTTTAAACTGTATATTCATGTAAACTGGAAAACAAAATACTGAGTGTTCACCAACGCTGCCATATTTCTTGGAAGAGTTTTCCAAGCAAATGAACCCCAAAAGGTGATGCCATTTTGAGTGTATTCTCAAGATGAAATAAGAAAAACACTAAGACATTCTCAATTGTGATTTATTTATACTTTTCTCAAATTCCAGTGAAAGCAAGCACCAAGATTGAAAACGCTTTCCTATTACAAAAGCTCAAGAAAGCAGCTTTCAAAATCAGAGATGTTCAAGGTATCCACAACAACTCAACTTCAAAATGTGTCAATGAAACAGTGAACTTAGGAGGTTTTGGGAGGTGCTTGTTATCATGGTGTTGCAAAGCTGTTTCACCACCATATAAGCACGAACTAGATGTTCTGAATTTACCAAATCATAATCCTATTTGGTTGGGCTGATTCAAACACAACTGTTTGTACTTCTCTCTAACCCAGGTTATGTGAAAGTTACTTTTGGAGAAAACACCATTTGGGTATTTCCAGCTCAAGGGGGTGTCTCGTCCTATGAGACACCTAGTGGCACTTACGTGTAATAAACAGCAGTAAACAATTGATACGTTGTACCTTGTGTCCAAACCATTCTATTCCTGATTTATGCTTAAATCAAGTACAAACACAATACCACAATAGTGATTCTGACTTTTGAAATCAATGAAATCAGGGTCATGTCGGCAAACACCCTATTAGAAATTAGTATCAGGACTTTCCCCTTGCAACCTGTACCTTGGTATGAGCGAAGATCAGGCCTTAATTCCTGAGCTCCCCTGAAAGCAGTGACAGCAGCATCAGGTCGATTAAGTGATAAGAACAGATTACCCTGAAAGTGTATGCAAAGGATGATGTGATAAAGCATCAGAACATGGGCAGTACAAACTGCCCTGTTATGTCATTTTAGTAAAAAATGGTTCATCCACATTCTTTGGTAAATGTAATCATTAATACCTTCATTATAAAGCCTGGAATGTGTCTGTCATCAATTCGGATGCTCTGGTAACAAACAGAACATTGAGATTTTGTGATACTTTCTTAAGAGAATCAAAAGGTTACTCTAAAATGAAAAAGCTATAACCTTTTCAGCATAAGCCAAAGCTCCCCTTTCATCTTTCCTTTCCCACAACACAGACAGAGCTACAAAGACTTCTGGCCTTGCTGGGTCAATGTTCAGCAAATCATGCACCAGCCTGTTTAGCTTGGCATGATCAGACTTCGTTTTTAGAAGCATTGCATATTCATCCATGTAGGTAACAGTGTATGGATCAATTGACCGGACCTGAAAAAGATATTGAATATCATACATATGTATGAAGAAGATGAACCATAGTGTTTAGATATTAGAGGAGTAATTTTCCTCACCTTTTCAAAATTGATTATGGCTTCATCATTTCTTCCAATGATAGCCTCAACCTTCATATTACCATTTGCATCAAAGTTGAAAGATAAAGTCATTACAGTGTTTCCACATAATTAGAACTATCAATTTGAAGAATATGTAACTGTAGTAGAATATGAACATTTTTGTTGCAATCACCAAAAAATATCTTTATCTTTCTAGGTGTTGTGTTAATAAAATTTTGTGGGTTGATGACGATGTTTTAAAAAGCACTAGAGACGTGCACCTGAGGTGCATCTCCAGGCAAGATGTTAAGAAAATGCCTTGGCGTGCAGCCTAGAGGTTTGCAGACAATTGAGGTGTACACCTCCAACCTAGAGGCATATGAGGTGTATGCCTCCACTGCACTTTATCCAAGAGGCATACAGCTCCTGTGCTCTTATATTTAAGGCAGTTCTTGTGATAAAAATGATACAGATAAAAGTGGGGTAACCATTTTATTAAAAAAATACGATGGATGAAAACCCTTCAAATTTGTATATTGTAATATTAAAAATCCGTCTTCTCCTCTTTTTCACCTCCTTCCTCCTCTTGAGGAGGCTTACACCACCTTGTGCTCAATAATCTTACTGGTGCAGATACAGAAGCAAGGAAAGAATTTATAGAGAGAAACAAACCGACTTTTCAATTCCTATACCAATTTCAGAATTTTTGGATTATAGGATATTGGTACCATTTCTGTTTCTTACTATCTAGTTGTGGGTATCTTAAGAATAGGGTTCTATCTTTTTAGATTTTTATTGATGTATGAAATTACTATTAATAGAACTCTCTGGCTAATTATTTATAGTAATTCCCGTAATTATTAGAGTTGTTTACGAGGTTTTTTTTTTTTAAATTTTTGGTAGGACTTGTTTAGGAGTTGGAGTCCTTATTTAAGTGTCCTAATGGATCAGTTACAGATTTGTGCTAGTTCTAAAGCACTAAGGAGTTATTTTGGGTCAATTTCCAAGTCCAAATTGGAGTCTAAAAGGGGACATCCGAGTTAACATATTGGGTCTATAAATAGTCATTGTAATTGGAGTTCAAAAAGAGTGACTTCATGAAATAAAGATTGGTTTAGTGAATTCTGGTTGTTGCCAGAAGTTTTTTCTCTCTCCCCCTCCCCTCCTTATTTCTTCTTATAAGTGATCTATCTCTTTGCTGTTCTCCCTAACAGCAAGAGTTCACCTCTTTCTTCTAATTTGTTACCCATTCTTTGGTGCACAACAAGAATCCCTCCATATTGTTCATCTTAAATTACCCCACAGCCCCTCATCATTCACCCACTAAGCCCACCACCACATCCTAAGTTAGTAGGACCCTAACCCGTCCAACATCACTTACGCCTGCTGCATTTTGATTTACGTGTTACACCCCCGGGTAGTGGAAAACCTCACTTCATGCCTCCAAGTTTTAAAACATTGGTGATCATGAATCATGAGAACACTCCCCCATAAGTATATTTTCAATGCTGCAGTAACAAGGCCAATGGAGGTGGAGGGTCCATGGCCACTGCTCCACTCACAGCAGAATCTAGTATTCTTTTTTTTTATCAAAAACAAGAAACTATATTAAAGAAATGAAACTGTGAAGTTTAGGTACAAAGGGGAGGTAAAAAGACTTAACTCCCCATCAAAGAGTACAAGGAAAAAATAAAAAATTAGCCCAAAACGTCGAATCCCTATTTACCCCTTGCTTTGCTAACCCATCAGCAAAGGAATTAGCCACCTAATCACCACCTCCGAGTCACCTTCAAGGACCAAACATCTGCTGTTCAGCTCCCTTGCTCTTTGGATGCCTTCCAGGGCTGCGAGGGTCTCAGCCCTAAGAGAGTCCCCTTCCCCAATGGGGCCTGAAAACATAGCAATAATAGCCCCCACCTCATTCCTGAATACTCCCCCAATCCCAGAAGGCCCTAGGTTCCTTAAACAGCTGCCATCAAAATTCATTTTATGAACCCAGGAAGAGGGGACCACAAAGGACTACAGCTCCTCTTACAGAGGGCAGAGGAAGCTATCTCCTTCCAATTTCTCACCAAATCAGCCACAGAATAATCTGAAAACAGTTCCATAGTTTTCAACCAATGTGCCACCCTTAATAGAGTTAGATCTAATAAGTTTCCGATGGTTCTTTCCTTATCTGAAAATATTCATGAGTTTCTTTCTTCCCATATAGTCCAACACACTGCAGCCCTGATGCTTCTCCACATAGTCTTCCCTCTCTTCTTCGGCCATGTGAAAAAAGAGGGAGAGAAGAAGCTTTGGACACTCCCAGGGGGTATCCAAACACACCCAAAAAGGGAAAAGACCCACTCCCAAACTGATTTAGCAACCGAACAAGTAACCATAAGGTGGTAACCAGTTTCCCCATCAGCTTTACAGAGAGTACATCTATTAGGAAGTAAACAAGAGTTGGGTCTCTTCTTCTGAAGTAGGTCATTTGTGTTAATTCTTTCCAAGAAAGTTTCCCAGCAAAAACTACCAACCCAAGGAGGAATGGGTCTACTCCAAATTTCTTTAACCGGGAAAGATAATCCAATGGGATCAGAAGGTTGAGTTAAAGTCTCAAAAAATGAGGCACAAGAGAAAACACCTAAAGAGGAGGGAACCCAAAATCCGGTGTCCTCCTTATTGGGATCCAAGAAAACATTTTCAAGGATAGCTAACAAAGACAAAAGGTGGTCCAAGTTTATATCCCTAATTGCCCTTCTCAAACCTAGGTTCCACCCAAACCCTGAAGGAGAGTCTGAGGGGCTTAAGAAGGAAGAAATAGGTTCATTTTTCAAATTAGAAAGAGCATACAAAGAGGGAAATTGGTCCATCAAAGGTGAGTCCCCGACCCAAAGTTGTTCCCAAAATTTTATTTTATTATCGGAGTTAAGACCATACTTGATACAAGGGGAAAAAACTGGAAGCAGATTGTATATGGCTAACCAAGGAGAGGCAGTTGTAGTCCTTGCCAAGATTCCAGGTTCCCAACCATTGTTTTCCAACCCATGTATGCTAGCCACAATCTTTGTCCACAACTTGTCTCTTTCCAACGGAGACCTCCATAACCATTTCCCCAACAAAGCCCTATTCCTCTTCCTAACATTCCCAATCCCAAGACCTCCTAGCTTTTTACCTCTAGTTACCACCTCCCAACTCATCGTATGGTCCCGCTTCTCCTCTCCAGGCTCCCACAAGAAATCTCTCATAAGCTTTTCCAAAGTGTTAGAGATCTTTGTGGGGATCTTAAACACTGATAGGAAATACACAAGAAGATTAGCTAGGGTTAATCTAATCAAAGTGATTCTCCGCCCCAAGGAAAGATAATTTTTCCTCCAAGAAGCAAGCCTTTTCCCAAATCTCTCCACTACCGGGTTCCAAAAGCTTACCTTCTTAGGGTTACCCCCCAGGGGGAGGCCTAAGTAAGCCATCGGCCATTCCGAGGTTGCACACCCCAACACACCTACATACTCTCTAAGCTCCCTCTCCTCTAAATTCACACCCACCAAACTACTCTTATCCAAATTCACCTTGAGATTAGATACCCACTCAAAGAGTTGTATTGCCAATTTTAGGTTCCGGATCCACTCAAAGTCCCCACCTTCACAGAAAAGGATTGTGTCATCTGCGAACTGCAGATGAGTAAGAGGTATCTCCTCCCTTCCTATTCTCCATCCTTTTATTAAATTCCTTGAATCCGCTCTCTGAATCAATCTCCCAAGTACATCAGCAACAGAGTGAAGAGGAAAGGGGATAGTGGATTACCCTGTCTTATTCCTCTTGAGGTGGGGAAGAAATCCACCACAGTTCCATTCACCAAGATAGAGTAGTGGCAACTTCTAATACAACCCCAAATCCACTTACACCAATTGTCTCCAAAGCCAAAACTTTTCAACACTTCCAACAAAAAAGACCAATCAACCATGTCATAAGCCTTCTCCAAGTCTAGTTTACACACCACTCCCTTCTTCTTGGATTTCCTAAAGCTCTCCAAACTCTCATTAGCTATCAAGATTTGATCGGTAATTTGTCTTCCCATCACAAAAGCACCTTGGTTAGGTGTAATTATGGAAGGAAGAACCTTCTTTAATCTTAAAGACAACACTTTTGGGATTATCTTGTACAAACTGTTCACCAAACTAATAGGTTTGAAGTCCCTTGGTTGTGATGCTTCTTTCTTCTTAGGAACCAAAGCTTGGGTTGATTATTCCCCTTCAGTGGAACTCCTCAAACACTGACCCAATATCTTTCTCCACAATACCCCAACAATCTTGATAAAAATCCATTGTGAACCTGTTCGGACCTAGAGCTTTTGTTCTATCCATTGAAAATATTGCTTCCTTTATCTCCTCCAATTCAAACCTCCTTTCTAACCACTCCGTTTTCTAGACTTAGAGTCGGCCAATCCAAACCCTCCAACTAGATCCTTTCATTTAAAGGTCTTTTGAAAATAGATTTGAAATGGCTAACGAAGGCTTCTGCCGTTTCTACCAGGTGGGAAATGACTGTTTCTTCAACTTCCAATTTTGAAATGAAATCCTTCCTTCTTCTACCATTTGCCACTGAGTGAAAGAACCCGGTGTTTCTATCCTCCTCCTTCAACCACTTGCACCTAGATTTCTGCCTCCAACTTATTTCCTCCTTAATCAATAGATCCTCCAATTGCTCCCTTAAGCTCCATCTCCTTTCTCTGTCTTCTTCTCCCACAAGATCCCTTCCTTCCTTCATATCCAACTCTTCTATCTGCACTACCAACACTTGTTTCCTTTCCTCTACTCTCCAAAACTCCAACCTGTTCCACTCCTTTATTTGGGATTCTAAGAACTAAAGCTTTTCATGGAACCTCATTCCTTCCCACTGTACTGGTGGACTATAGTGCTGCCACCATTCCTTGACTTTCTCAATGAATCCCGGGTGGATCAACCACATGTTTTCAAACCTAAACGGGGCAAGACCATCGCCTCTCAATTCCTCCTTACACATTACTATAGGCTAGTGGTCTGAGGTTAGCCTCGGAATCACCCTAGATGTTAAGTTACCCCAATGTTCCTCCCAATCTATTGAAAAGAGAAACCTATCTAGCTCAGAGCAAATTGGGTTTGATTGGATGTTGGACCAGGTGAAGGTATTGTTAAGCATTGGAAGTTCTTTAAGCTCAAACATATCCACAAACTGATTGAAGCTCCTCATACTTGTCACTCTCTGTCTAGGTTTGTTGGTTTCCTTTGTGAATCTCACTACATTAAAATCCCCTCCTAGACACCACGGTCCTTCCCAAAGGCCCCTAATATCACTCAACTCTTCCCACAGTTTCTTTCTCTACCTATAGTCATTGGGGCCATAAGCATTTGTTAATACCCATTCGAAACCTTTCCACCTGCCTGAACTTCAAAGAAACAGAATGATCACCTATCAACTCCTCCAATCCTATAAGCACATCTTCTTTCCACAGTCACAATACCACCTGAGGATGCCCATGATGGAGCAGCCGCCCACAGTCAAAATCCATTCTTTTGGATTCTTGAAGTAATACCACATCCGGATTGAACTTCTTAATCACCTTTTTGATTGTTACTCTCTTTCTAGCACTACCTAGCCCCCACACATTCCAACTTAGGATTCTCATTACAATTTTCCAAGAATCTGCCCTATCACCACCAAAATCTACTTGGGCCCTTTCCTTCTGTCCCCTCTAGCCACAAGCTTCTTATCCCCCTCAATATCTCTTTTTAATCTCTAAACCTCGCTCAATTTTCTTTTCTTGACCTTTTTATCCTCCTTTTTTTTGTAGAAATGCTTTTAAATCATTTGGGTTCTTCAGTTTACACCCCAACTTTCCCACAAATTCTGCCAATGAATCTTCCCTACAAATCTCCTTTTTGTCTAGCTTTCCAAGTTCATATCTAACCCTTTCCTCATTCCTTTTCTCTTTCTCTCCACTAGGCACTCTTTCTGTCCCATTTATATCCTCCCTTTACATTTCATTCCTTTCCACTTCACCCATTATCCTCTCAATTATCCCCCAGATCCTTTTACCCCTACCATGTATTCCCACTACTGTCTCCCCCTCCTCCCCTTGTAATCTCATTGTGGCTTCCTGTCCATGGGCCTTTGTCTCCTGGTTGGAAAAGGAATCTAGAACAATGGGCACAGAACACTCGTCAGTAGCAAAAACTGAATTGACAGAGTTGTCAGAGTTACCTGGTTTCAACTGAGGGTTGTAGAAAAGGGGCAGAGGAGGGTGGTTGGTTTTCAAACCCTATAAAGAACAATTGGAGCTTTCTGTCTCCTCAGGTTGGAGGGAAATATTCCCCGTCACATGGTTTACACAAATACCTTTTTCTTTACCCGGTTGTCCACCTCTCTGTGATGTACCCTTGTTCAGGTCTGGGTTAATGTAATCAAACACCTTAACAGCTATTTGCAAGGAGCTAAACCTTGGTAAAGGTTTGTCCAAAATTGAGCTTTGGTCTACCCTGTTCAAGTTTACCGGAGTCTCCAAATCTGTCTACTGTACGCCCATCGGATTTTCAAGAAAGAGCTGCTCTAGATTTAACTCCTCTCTGATCTGTCCTGCCTGGGGACCTTCCTCTGCCGAGCCATCCAAACTTGCACAGTCTTCTGAACTCCCCTCTTCATCACTCTCCATGCTGCAACTTATCCATTCTTTGTCTTCCTCCTTTCTCTCTTCTATTTTACCCCTACTGCAACGCGGGTTTGGGCGATCCTAAACACTAGAAATCTGCTCGCCACAGTCTGGACGAATGTTCCAGCTTAGGGGACGCTTTCCTCCACCTGTTCGCGTTTTCTGATAGCCATCAGAATCGAACTGATCGGCCTCCTCTTTTCTGGAAGAAGATAGACGGACATTTCCGTCTACAAACGTTTTGAGCTTGTCCCGCCCCACGTGATGACTTAAGTTGTCACGTGGCCCACTAACGGTGGTGAGTGGACCAAAAATTGGTTCGGTCATTCTAACACCCAGTTCAGAAGTGGTGGCCCTGTTAAGACGCACCGAGTTGCAAACTTTTTGGCCATATCAGCATAGGAAGGGCCACCTAAATCTCTTGAATTTAATTCAAAAAAGTTTGAATTAAGTGCTTTTAAAGGAAAGCTTCGAGAGGTGGAAAAACCCTGCGACTGTTCAATTTCTCCATTTACTCTGTCACGCGCAGCAGGTTGCTTCTCTAATCCTTGGGTGCCACGTGTGCTCCAGCCAACTGCCACACCATCATCCCCTACCTCTGATCGTCTCTCCCAAAGAGACGCCTCAACTTCTGTTGCCAGCCAAACCTTATACCAGGCTCCCTCTGAAAGAATTTTGAGAGCACGAGGCAAGTTCTCAGGCTTCAGCCCTGCAACTCTGATCTCTGCAGCACGCAAACTTCTCAAGTTCAGCTCCGAGGACACCCCCTAGGGCTCTAACGATTCTTCCTAAGGTCTGTTCATTCCAGAGATTAAAAGGGAGTCCGAGGAGTTTGATCCAGAAGCTGCAGTCCTTTAGCACAACTTCGTTGCATAACGGAACCCAGTTTTGTATTTGTATCAGTCCTCCATCTACTTGGACTGTATTGAAACTCAGTTTTTCATCACCTGTATCGAGGATGGCTTTCTTCTCATCAAACGGCAGAACTACTGCATCACCTTCTAAGCCCAGTCTTTCAGCAACTGCGTCTAAAACTTCCGTCCAATCCCTTACAGCCCTATCAGCCATTAACACCATTCTGTGTTCCCATTTGCCTCTCCCTTCTTCAAGTGCTAACTTTTGGATTCCAAATGAACTTGGTATCATAGTCTCTTGACGGCAGGGACTTTGCTTCTTGCTCTGCTCCGGGGTGCCACAGCTTGTTGGAGCATCTTCAACCGCTTTGTTGTCCAATCTTTCTACCGCCTTCCCTTCAATTTCCAAGAGATTGGCGAAAGAAGTCCAGCGTTGACCCCTGAGTCCTTCCGGTATGCATAATACTTGTTTCTTGTTAGTACCAAAGTATTCTGTTACCATGATAAACCATCCTCTCCCATTCCTTCTCAGAACCGTTTCAAACCTTTTCCCACAACACACCACTGCGTTTTTCCACCCTTCTTCCTTGATAGTGTTCACTGTTCCATCAACAAAGCCTTTCAGCCAGTAGCAAGCCTCCTCTGGTAATAGTAAAGTAGCCCTACTACCTTCCCTGATTTTCAGATAAGCCTTGCCTCTTGTCCCTCCACTTCCCCACTGGCCGGAAGTTTCTCTGCTCTCGTTCCATCTTGACCACGTAGATCAAGTAATTAATGTTCATCATTAATTGTTTTTTGTTTTTTCACTTGTTATTTCTTCTTTAAAATTTTCACTTGACCATCTAGTAATTACCACTGTCAACCAAATGAAAGAGCTTAATTTGAAGAAAAACCATTGAAGTGGTTGTAGGTTAAATTTCAATCTTCTAAAAATGTACTACTCTTACTGAAAAATCGCAATCACTATTTGGATTAAGTTAGTGATTCTTACTTGCCTAAAAGAGTTTATTGAAGTCAGAATTTTTTAGTTGTTAGGTATTTACAGAAAAGTTTGTTTGAAGATACCCACATGTAAGAGTGATCTTATTCTTTCTCTTTCTTTCCCTCTCCCCAACCAGTTATTAGACCTCAATAAGCATTCCTCCCACCAGCAACAAAGAATGCCCAAATAAGGGTCTAATACCTTAATTTCATCATGCAAGACCAAGGTTCAAAATTTTGATACGATACACCCGGGGCGTATCGTATTGGTGGCTTAACGATATGCCCCTACAGGGGTCTGACCTGGTTCAGGGGTAGACCAGCCTTAAACTGACCCTTCTGAACCAGTTTCAAAAAAAAAAAAAAAGAGAGAGAGCAAGATATTTTAAAACTTGTGTACGACTATTACCACAATTACTATAACAATGATGACAATCAAAACAACAAGAATGACAATGATGACATTAACAATGCCTCAATTCAACCATTTTGGCTTACATATCTGGTTTCCACCATTCCATTCTTTCTAGGCCCAAATATTCTTATAAGGCATATGACTTGCTAACCTTTGCTATTTCAAGTAATATGTGCACATTATTAGGAAAACGCTGTAGAAGTTCAGTGAAGAGCTCCAAACCACCTGTCAAAAAAAAAAGACTATAAAGAACTGAACGTATCAGTTATTATCAATAATACTACCACACTTCATTCAAGAAACTTGATTGTCACAACCATAGTGGTCAAGGTGGCATCTATGTGTGTAGGTGCTTTTTGGGTCTTGCCTCGCCCAAACGCCATATGATACACACAGACAGTCTATAAATATAAACATAGAAATGATGCACCAAATCATTATTTTTATTTGTTTCATAAGGTATGTTTTTTATTAATTTCTGATTTTGTTAAGGTTTCTGATAGATAAGATATTGGAAGACGAGTTCAAGAGATAAGATATTCAAAGACACGTTCGAGAGATATCCTCATCAGGGTTCTAAGTTGTACCTCATCAGGGTTCTTTATCTTCTAGAACAAAAAACATGGGCTCTACCCCTTTTTTTCTTTTTTGAAACAAAAACATGCGCTCTGCCCCTTGTTCTTTTTCTTTTTTTGAAATAAAAACAGGGGCTCCGCCCCTCCACCTCCTCCTCCTCCTTTCTCTTCCACTTCTACAAAAAAATATTAGAACAAAAAACAGGGGCTCCACTCCTCTTCTTCTTCTTCTGCTACAGAAAAACAGGGGTCAGCCCCTTTGTTTTCTTTTTCTGGAAGAAAGATTCTTCTTCATCACTTTCTTGAACTAAAACAGGGGCTCCACCCCTTCTTGTCCATCATTTGTGATATTTTTATTTCAAGCATTCTTTCTTCTAAGACAAGAATAGGGGCTCTGTCCTTCTGTTACTTCTATTTCAATGGTGAACATAGGGGTTCGTCTCCTTTTTGTTCTACTTTTTTAGAGGTTAAGCGATGGAGCCTTGAAAACTATGCCCAGAGCTGCAAAATGCATGGCCATAGAATAGAGCAACCTATAGATGGATGAAGACAGCCATGCTAATTATTTCAGTTTTTAATAGCACAAAATCAGTATGTAGTTAATTTAACACTGTAACAATCCAAAAGATACTTGACTTCTGCAGAAAAAATCAGCACACTATTATTAAGAGTTAAGAACATTCCCAATAAGTGGTACTGAAACAGGAACATGCAAAAGCAACTTAAATATCACCTTGGAAAGAGTAGGAACCAATAACTCAATGGGAATTAATCAATGTTTTCAAAACTATTATTGACCCAAGGAATCAGATAAGTCTACCTGTCACCCAGATGAGAAGACAGGCCAGTTTAACCACAAACCAATTAAAGTGTTTAAAAATCATTGACATCTACCTGGATTGTCAATCCATTGACTCCATAGAAACCGTTATGGAGTTGTGGTTCAATCAATTGCATAATATGTTAATATTAAAATTTAAAATCTTGAAAAATTAAAGAAATATTAATTTATATAACAGAGAGAGATTCTGAAGTCAAATCTAAATCTTATAAAAAAAAAACATAAAAAAAGTAAAGAACAATTTTAAGGGGAGGGGGAACCAAGAGTGAGGTTTTAGTTTCAAATTTGGGGAGAGGGGAAAACCAAAAGATGGGGGGGGTGTAGGTGGGTGTAGAGCAGAGAATCTGAGAGAGGAAAATTAGTTTGAGGTAGACAGAGGAAAAAAGGAGGGTCAGGTTAGGAGGGAGAAAAGTATAGGGAGATGTCACATGACGGGCAGCACGACCTACTTGTTTTCTTTTTACCAACCAACAATGGGAGTTTTTCTAGAAAGTCACGTCCAACCTCATTCAATGATATGAGGGCGGAACAATTAATGTTAGAACACCTAATGGGAGAGGCATCAAGCTTTCCAATTAAAATGGTACTTCAATAAGGCTCAACATTTGGACCTTATTTATTTTTACTGGTTATGGATGAATTGACTAAAGATATTCATGAAGAGGTTCTGTGGTGTATGTTCTTCGCTGATGATATAGTATTAATTGATGAAATCAAAGGACCGAATGTAAAATTAGATTTGTGAAATACCTTAGAAACAAGAGGTTTTAAAATTTAGTGTTAAAACAAAATACATGCAATGTAAATTTAATAATAATAGGAGTTCAAAACAGGGTAGGATGGGAGACCAAGAGATGGCTCAATGTGACATCTTCTATTAGCTTAGTTCGATAATCCATAAAGGGAGAGGTTGTTGTTTCCCATCTCCAGTTCGTTGATGATACAATGTCCTATGAGGGTGATAATCCAGAGATTGTGAGAAACTTGAAGGTTTTGATTGACAATTTTGAGTGTGTTTATAGACTGAGGGCAAATTAGAGTAAAAGTAGCAGGAATTAATAATAATATAAGGAGGGAAAGTCGATAGGTTTGCTAAAATGTTGGGCTGTGAGGTTAGGAATTGGCCTGTAGCTTACCTAGGTTTGTCACTGGGAGGAAACCCTAGGTCAGATGGTTTTTGGAGACTGATGGTGGAGAGGTTTGCAAAAAAGCTAGCCTTATGGAAAAGGGATTACATCTCTTTGGGTGGTAGAATAACTTTGATTAGCGCAATGTTAGCAAATCTTCCCATTTATTTCCTTTTTACCTTCCATATCCCAACTAGGAATAGGCAACATAGTTTTTAGAAACATTGTGCTGCTAGGGATATGGTTGTGGAGATTTCCCTTTAAAAGAGATAGGTTGTGGAAAAAGACAATTGAAAGCATTCACAAGGTGGAAGGAAATGGCTGGGATGCAAAGCTAGCCCCTCATACAACCTCAGCTTCTCCTTGAAAAGCAATTCATGAGGTATACCCAATTTTTCTCAATTCCATTGGTTTTGATGTGGGGACAGGTGACAAAATACACCTAAAATGTTCATAGATCCATGATAATAATTTAAGTAGAGGTGAAGATGGAGGGGACCTTTCTTCCTGCGAGAAAATGGAGAACAGAACTCATTGATTGAGGCAAAGAAGATAACATTGGAAGAAGAAAGAGTAAAACTCAAGTCATGTTGAAGAATAGAGCAGAGGGAAAAGCAACAATGTTCCTGGTCAGAGAAGCAATGCTCTAGCTGAAAGGCTTTATTGATGGGGCACTTTATTTGTAAAGAATGTTGGCCGAAAGAATTTCATAGAACTGCCTAGAAGGAAATATCAAGTGGATCTGAAATGTAGCCAAAAAGGATGGCCCGTGGTTGTTTAGAACTCTTTAGCAACAATAAAAAGCAAATGTTTTGTCTCCTGAAAGGAAAACAAGGCTTGGGTTGGAGGCAATGTTTTAAAAGTGCAAGGCGCAAGGCGAGGCGCGCGCCTTCTTGAAACCAGGCACAAAAATTTAAAAAAAATCAAAAATCAAAAAAAGCTAAAAAATCAAAAAGAATGTCAAAAAAATAAGAAAAAAGTGCCAAAATTCAAAAGAAAATAAACATAATATTAATAAAAATATAAACTTTAAATTTTAAAATAAATGTTTTAAAAAACCTATTATCTAAAATTAAAATACATAAACATAAAATGTAAAGCATATTCAAATGTGAATTTAAAAATAAAATCAAACATACAAAAACATTTTTAAGCATGTAAAACCCACAATCTCTTTTTTTCCCTCAATTGCTTTACTTCAAGTAGCTAATATGATGTAAAACATATTACATTCCTGATTCTACGAGCCGCCTTTGTGCCACGCCCCTTGAGGCAAGCCCAAACAAATCCATGTTAGGGTCTTAAATTCTTAGTTTTCACACAAAAAAATGATGATTTTATAATTTTAATTGTTTTTCAAGAAGATATTTTAGTAGGACGAATGAATGAACAACATTACGCTGGGCTGAGGTGCAAGGCACACCAGGCGTGTGCCTTTTGAAAGGGCTGCGCTAGGACCTGGACGAGGCACCTATCCAAAAATGTGCCTTGCCTGTGTGCCTAGGCATGCCTTTTAAATCACTGGTTGGAAGTCAATTGCAGAAAAAGTTGCAAGAGTTTTTGCTGAAAAAAGAAGTCAACATTCTCAAGATGTGACAATCTAATGGAAAACAATCTAAGGCTAGTCAAGAAAAGCCTTCATAGGAGTCAAATGAAACTAATAAAGATTTGGGAGGTGCAAAAGACATCACACAAGAAGAGGCTCAGCAGAATTTTTCAATAGTAAGCTTAAACAAGGTTTACAGAATAGTACTGTAAAATGGTAGAGAAGATTGGGAAAGAAGATTGGTCCTAGTGGCAAATGAATGTGTGGCAGCAAAGAAAAAAACAGGGAGGAAAAGGTCTGATCTGTAAAGTGTAAACTAGATCTACAAAAATCTTATGACATGGTGGACTTGTCCTTCCTTCTGAGTCTCATGGAAAAGTCTGACAGCCTGCGTTAGATGAAAGATGGAGAATGTGGATCAAAGGCTGTATTAGCTCAGCACACTTCTCAATCCTTTTAAATGGAGTAGTAAAGGATTTCTTCCCTGCAAAAAGAGGATTAATAGAAGGTGACCCCCTACCCCCATCTTGTTCACCTTTATTGCTGAGATGTAGAGTAAGCAAATCATCAAGGCTGATCAAGAAAATCAGTTTAGGGGAAGGAGGATGGGTAGATCGGAGGTGGTGGTGACTCACTTGCAGTTTGCAAATGACAATATCATTTTCTGTGAGAATTGTGATGAACTTAGTTTGAGGAATCTGAAAGACGTTGTGGATAATTTCCAGCTTATCTCAAAGCTAAAAGTAAACTGGGGAAAAGTCATGTAGCTGGAATAAACTTGGATGAGGGTGACATTCAGGCCTGGGCAGGATTACTAGGCTATGAGGTAAAAACTTGGCCCCTAGAGTATCTAGGTATGCCCTTAGGGGGAACCCAAAATCAAAAAGCTTCTGGAAACCAGCTATAGAGAGATTTACTAAAAAGCTGGCAATATGGAAGAGAAGCTATATCTCTTTAGGGGGAAGAAATAACTTTGATAAGTTTCACCCTAGCTAACCTGCCCACTTACTTCCTCTCCACTTTTAGGATCCTGGTGAAAATAGCTAGACAGCTAGAAAAGATAATGAGAGATTTTTTTGTGGGAGCCAGGAGAAGAAAAGAGAGACCATTTAGTGAAATCGGAACAAGGTGGACTAGGTAGAGGAAATCTTTTGAAAAAAAAAAATGGTTCTTCTAGGGAAATGGCTGTAGAGATTCCCTCATGCAGAAGACAGGTTGTGGCACAAGGTCATTAAAAGCATTCATGGTGAAGCGGAAAATAACTGGGATGCAAAACTAACCTCTCATGCAGCTCCTAATTCCCCCTAGAAAGCAATCATTGGGGTATTGCCAATGTTCCTTAACTTTATCCGTCTTGATGTTGGGTGTGAAAATAAAGTGTTAGTCTTGGAAGACTTATGAGTAGGGGAATTGCCCCTTAGTGTCAAATTTCCTTAACTTTATTCCTTATTAAACCTTTAAGGCTGAATCTGTTGTCAAATTTGGTATATTTTCAGACTTAAGCCTATGTTGGGACAACGCCCCTATGTATTGGCAGGGGCATTTTGGTACTTAAATTAGCATGCTTTTATATTTTTTAGTTTTTTTTTTCAAAATTTGGTTTTTGGGCATATTTTTTATTAAAAAAAAGAGTGGTTCTCGAAACCCCTTTAAAAAGGTGTATCATGAAGCTGATACGAAATTTTGATCCTTGGGGATAATGAATGTGATCCCCTACTTCTCTTAATTTCAACCCTAGAAAAGGTCTATTTGGACCAAAATGTTGCGAATAGTAGAATCTGGTTCCCAGTCTCTGATGGTTTATTTTCTTGTGCCTCATTCTTTAGCCTGCTTACTCACTTTGAAACCTTGGGGTGAATTTTCCCGTGAGAGAAATCTGGTGTAAACCAGTCCCTCCTAAAGCACAAGCCTTTTGTTGGGAAGTGTTCCTAGGTAAGGTAAACACCTATGATGCGCAATGGAAAAGAAGGCCAAATAAGAACCTCTCCCCTCATGTGTGTATCCTTTGTTAAGGATTGTGGTAAGACCCTAACCCATTTCCTAATATCCTGTTTTTTGTTTGTTGTATTTTGAAACACTTCTACTCTTCTTTGGTTGCAGATGGGCACCCCCACAGGATGTAGTAAGTCTTTTCAAGTCTAATTTCCTGAGGCAACAGAAAAAAAGAGGAAAATGTCTATGAAATGCAGTAAGAGCAGCTGTGGAGTGGATTATTTGGGAGGAAAGAAATCAAAAAAATCTTCAATGGAAAAAGTAAATCAAAGGAGGAAGTGATTGAAGCTATAAAAGTCAGATCTGCACATTGGTTAAAACTACGGAACTCTACAGGAATGTCTCCATAAATGACATTCTAAGGAACTGGAATGAAGTGATACAAACTCATGTACATAGAGAAACTGTGAGAGTGGACTGGAAACACAAACACCTGCACCAAATTAACTAAAACTGAACTTTGACGGGGGGTTCTTTTCACAACCCGGGAAGAGCAGGTATAGGGGGAGTGTTTAGAGATCAAGGAACAGTTGTGGCACTTTTCTCAGGACCATTAGGCCTTGATGACTCAATTCAGGATGAAAATCAGGGTCTCCTACAAGGTTTGAAACTGGCTGAGCAGATTGAAGCAACAGAACTGGAAATTGAATAAGATTCATTCCTGGTCATATCTTGGGCATAGCAAATCAGTTCAGTACCTTGGAAGCTCAGACTTGTCTTCAGAGAAATAGACCAACTTGCAAGGAGGTTTGGTACTAGTTTTGGTTGGGTAAAGAGGGAAGCAAATGGACTTGCAGATGTCCTAGCCAAACAAGGAGCAGACAGGCCTACTTTATTTTGGGCTAGATTGTAATCTGGGTCACTACGTTTCTCTAACTTTAAAACGTGTGTACTTTCATCAGTAATTAATGATTTAATAAAAGTTCATTTGCTGGTCAAAAAAAGAGGCTGGGAAGCAAGTGAAGGATTGGGGAGTTATTTTGGAATTTGGATGATATTATGAAAAAACTTGAAGTCAGCTCTGGGGTTTCTATTTTTCCCTTTGATGAAAGAGTCGTGGATTTAGGGAGCAAAATCATGGACTTTGCAACAGTGGAGATTGAGTTGGAGGTGGTGCTAATCGAGAATCAGTCATTCTCATGCAACAAAAAGGAAATGGACGATGGGGCCTTTGTGATTAAACTGGCCTACCGTTTTGCTTTTGGAAGGAAACATCCATTAACAGAATAGTGAAAGCTTTGGGTGGTGTTCTCTAAGATTCAATTTTGCCAACCTTCAAGCAGTAAGGGTTAGAATCACCAGTGTGGAACCTGAAATCATTCCTCAATCAATTGATATCTTTGTTGAGGATTTTTTGACCAGTGTGGCTGGCGACGGAACATGAAGTGGCACTCTAGAGAGAAGGGCATGAGGTTGAAGAAGAAGTTGACCTGTCAGTGAGGAACCTATGTGGCAATAAAAGAGAAGGGAGAGCAAAAGAATTAAAAAGAAAAATTAAATGAGGAAAGTGAATGGTCGATTAGCAGGGGTCAAACCAAGGAGTTTCTTCGTAGAGTGTTTTAAATAATTTTGAAATAAGTTTGCAAGGAGCAGGCAAGACATCTTTTGCTGAGATAGTTAAGAAAGGGGTCCATATCAGATCCTACATAGGGCCCAACTTGTTTAAATACGATTGAAAGAAAGATTATGAGCCCAGTTCTATCCAAGCCTCAACTTGGCGCCTTGAAAACTATGATTGAGGTCGCACAATCTTCTAGAGAAAAGGCAAAATAAGGATGGATCGGAAACCTCTAGAAGGCAACAAAGTAAAACTGAACTTTGATGGAAGCCCTTTTGGAAATCTGGATGGCAGGAACAGGAGGTGTAATCAGAAACTCTGAAAGCAGGATAATGGCTCTATTTTAAGGGCCAATCGGAATGGAAAACTCCTTGAAAGCTAAACCATTGGCTCTTCAATTAGAAAAAACAATTGGATATAGACAGGTGGAGGTGGAAGGGGATTCAAAGCTAATTATCTCATGGGAATATTGTAACAGACATCCTGTGGACTTTCAGACATACTTTTAGGGAAGTGGAAAGATAAAAATAATATATATTGTAAGAGTGAAAGGGCAAATATATTTTGTGTTTTCAACTGTTCATATTTATTTCTTTTAGCCTCCATTGATTAAAGTCACATGCCATAGCAATGCCAGGCACAACAGTAAAAGATGAGTTAGAAATAACTTATGGAGAGAGCATTATCCCTCCAAACTGGAGGATAACTTATTGTACCTTTGTAGTCATTTGAAGCAATGCAACATTGGGCCTCAACATACCGCTGCATAAAAAGAGAATGGTATATTCAATAAGAAATCAAAAGGTTAATCTCAAAATCAATCAACCTTTGTGATCTTTTTTGATAAATAATTGTGAAATTTGTATCATATCTAAAATTGAATGAGCCTATGTGTGACTTGGCTATACGTTTTAATTATTTTTCTTAATACTTAACTACAGCATAAGACAAGTAATGAGACCTAAAAGCCATTTTCTTAAGTCTGCTTTAATAAAAGATTGGATACATGATTTCCAAGTTACCAATTAAAATCATGCCATCATATGCATCAGAAGTTCATGATCATTTAAATATGATTCGCAAACTCCAGAGGCAAGTCAGAACTTGGTCATTTAATTTGCAGCTTGAGTGAACTGCTCAAATGAAAGTAGGGAAAATATATCTAATAGAAAATATCAAATTATTTGGCCAACACTTAACCAATCTTCTTAACATGATTATATTACTCTCTAAAGAACCCCAAATTTTGTACACATCACTAAATCTTAAAGAGATTTTTGACAAAACATACTCATGAATCATATGATACAGTGATACACATGTCAAGTTAATGTCACCAACTCTAAGGCTACTATATGAGAATATGAGAAAATCACAATGAGTTCATTTTGTACTTACCTGCAACCAACGGCTAGAGTCAAAATGATCAAACGGAGGTCTCCCGCTTCTATTTGGTGTCTGGAATTATCAATTTTAACACATCAATAATACTGATCAACTTTCAAAGTTCAGCATTAGGATATGAAGGATCTAGAATCTGGGCAGATTCACAATACTAAATATCCCAACCTAAGAAATAGTCAAAAAACTATTTTCATACAATGAGAAGAAATCTTAAAGCAATATCCATAAACTGAAAAATATACACAAGATTTTTGGCATTAGAAAAGCTGAGATTGGTTTTCTTTCTTATACCATAAGGAAAAGTGAAGTACTGAATAATTAAATCCTTTACTTTCCAAATATATGGAATTAAAATGAACATAGAAATACCTGATACTATATTATCGTTGCCCAATTTGATTGTAGTTGGGTGAATTTTCTCAACGAACTTAATAAAATCCAACCATCCCATGGGAATCAAAAGCTTAGGTCTCCATTTTTTATATTAACGTAATTGAAACACATAGGATTTAACTTACAGAAATAATAAGATAAATAAATCACTCACGAAACAAGTTGGAGAAATGAATATTTAACTCCAAATATCAAGATGAAGACAATTTCACCAACAAACCTGAGGAAACAATGAATGAATATCTTTGGCTGAAACTCCTAATTCAGCTAAAGCTGTAACAGCCTCCAAGATGTAAGGGCAATGCCTGCCAAAAGGATGCAAAGAAAAAAGTGAATGATACATATGCTATTGTCAACTTGAAAAAAAAAAATACTTTTTCATGTATGTTCCTTTCATAATAATTTATTCTTCTTATTAATCAAAAAATAAAATGTTGTTGTCATGATGAAATATGGCAAGGAAAAAGAATTGCAATAGAAAGATGATTTTGACTTCTACACAAACATCAGGTAATGAAAAATGGAACATAATTATATATGGAAGTGATCATGCAATCCAAATAGCACATAGAGGTAGCTCAAGGAATTAAAAGGTAATATTGATTATGAAATAGGAAAAGAACCAATACATGGGAATTGATTATTTAGATGGGAAAATCAATGTGGACAAAGAAAGCAGCAGGAAAATCAACATTTTCAATGCAATTCCTTCACTGTTCTAAGGAACCACAACAACACAAGGACCAGAATGAACTGTGGAAACTTCTAAACCCTTGGTAAAGTTAAAGAAAATGTATGAAAAAATTCCTTTTTCTGTATATAATTTTTTTTACTGTGCTTGACTTACAAAATAAATTCTTTCCATTGGTTTCTAGTGGTTTATATGTTAATCTCTTCTAAAAACATGTCCTAAACCTTAAAGTGGCTCTAGTATTGGAAAATAATTGCATGTCCCATTTAACAAGTTAATAATCTCTAAAACTAAACATTTAATTCAAAGAAACAAGTTGCTTCCATGGAACACAATTATCAACAAGGGGTGATCCAGCATATGTTTGGTAGACTGAAGTCATGGGTGGTTGTGCACAATTACTTCACAGGCGTACTTAACCCTCATTACTTATTTTCATTTGTTCTTCATAACTAGAAAATGATGCCTATTTTTTCTACTGCACATTACCTTCCCATTGTACAGGCCCATGGCATAAATGACTATAGGTGTATATACATAAAGTCTTCTGTCACATATCAATACAGTTCACTACTTTACTTTTGCATTTAAATCATTTCACTACTTCTACTCATGCCCTTTTTTGGACTTCCCCTAGCCCTTCTAACCCCTTCAACTTGCAACAAATTACTTCTTATGGGCACTGTTGATGGTCTAGAACAGATTCTGTATAAGAAAATATCAATACATGTGTGTGTATGTCATAGATGATTAATATCCATTTATACATGTATTCATAGATACCATATCTTGTATATACACTATGTTAAAAAGGAAAGCTTTTTTCCTAGTCTGAGAAATTAAACCTGAATTTTAAGGTTTCCTCTCTGTAAACTTCTTGATATAGAGTTTCCTCTTGTATGAGGATTCCTTTTTCAGTTTTCCCATAAATAGAGGGTCAACTACACAAGTTATGTAATGTAAGACTGTAAGAGAACATACATAATAATCATGTAACTCCCCTCTTGAAGGAAATTGAGGCAATGAAAAAACATTATTCTTTGAGCATTTGAATAATCAACATAGCAGATGCAAAAGTACATTCTTCAATGCATTTAAAATTCTGGTCACAGCTAAAACAGAAACAACATGGCAAAGAAAGACAAAGAAAGATATTCAAGAACAAAACCATAGCTTCCATTTGATGTTTTTAAGTTCTTCCTCAGTTTCTAGTGTCATGTCTGCTGCATCGGTAGCAACATGCCTTACTTTTCTTCATTTTTTTGTTTATTCCTGGAGTGCAAGTTGTGGTCAGAACAAACTCACTAGATGTGGATCTCATACACCATTATATAATAGCCCCTAAGAGTGATACCATGTCAAGAGTAGAAATTAAACAAAGCCACACAGGCAATAGGCATCACGAATAAGAGAGGTGCTAACAAGTGATCACGCTGACAAAGTTTACAATGAGGAGAATTAAATTTTACTTAGATTTAATTAACATTATATTCTACAATTAAATACCTTTACTGATATCCTCTCTCTCCAGAAAGGAATATTTTCCTGTCACATTTAAAATTGTCTCCTACAAAGGCACACAATTGATATCAAGTAATTCTGTAATTGAAAGAAAAATATTTGGAGTTCATTTTTTATTCAGAGACTGATGTCATTCAGTCTACATATGCATTGAGCTGAAAGAGAGATTGTATCTTTCAAATCTGACAGCTTGACCAACCTGAGATTTCATCTACAGATCCAACAGTAGGGGTAATATATAGTCAAATTTTTGTCAACAACTCAAACTTTGGTCTTTGACTAAAGGACTTAGAGGGACTGTAGAACAGGTCGGTAGAATCTTTTGAATAAATGCCAGTACATATTAGGTGTTTTAGTTTTCTAGTTTTTCTTAATGTGAGGATCAGAACCCTAAAAAGTTGTTGCTTTTAATGTTCTGGTTAGACTTTAGCAATCCAAGTATTTAACAATGGTTTGGTTATAACTCAAAATTTTTGGGTTTTAGGGAGGAGCCTATGCCGTTATATTTGGTTCTCTGAACAGATGAATAGTACCCGTCAGTAGTTTTATTGCTATTTTTCCTTAATTTTATCGCTATTCTGATTTGTATGGACTGATACCACAGATTTTTGGATTATGATTGCTTTAGAATAGAGGAAATAAAACAAACATAGCACACAAAATGGCTTTAAACAGAAAAAAAAAATCTTAAAAATTTTATGATTTTAATTAAAACTAAGAGAAGGTAGCACTAAGCAATGCAACTTGACAGACCTTAAACAATCTTTGTAACAAGCAATAGAAGGACGATTTTGTTTACTAATGCGGTAAAGCTTCCCCATTGTTAGATTCATCCGCAAAGTTCGTGCTTTACTTGGAATACCCTCCATCTGTAATATCAAACAATACAAGCTTATACTTGATAGTTGAAACTAAAGAAACCTAACATATTTAACAAGAATTCCATTTTTCAAAAGTTGGCCATGTTAGAGTCAATTTCAAATTTAGATGTAAGACACATGCCAAGACTTATATTCAGACAAAAGATTTAGAGACTGTTTGGCAAGTCTTTCAAATTAGACTTTTCAGCAACCCAGCAGACCAAAAGACGTACTACTGAAATTTTGGGGGTCTTGTCTTTGAAGATCAAGACTGTTTGTATTCTTGGTCTATCAGGCTGTTAGAAACAAATTAGAAGGCTAAATTTAAGCACGGAAGGACCAAAATCTTTATTTGAAGCTTCCCAATTTTCGGCTATTTCACTCTTCCTAGGCACTCACCTTTCCATCTTTTAATTGCCAAACAGTAAAAGACCAAATATTGGTCTTCCGAGCTTTGAAAAGCCAAAAGATCCCACAGGAAAACTTGCAAAACACCCTCTTAGTTCAGCATACTTCACATGTATTTCTTTATCTACATCCCAATTATGGATTAATATAAGCTTAGCTAAGAAATTTTTTTCCCTGTTCTATATTTCCACAAGTCAACTTATTTCAAAATGCATCTTTGTTTTTTGAAAAGTAAAATAAAAATTCATTAAAAGGAAAAAGAGTACAATCTGGGAGGGTGATAAGATGTCACCACACAAACATCAACAAGAACAAGAACTACCCAACTTTAATTCAAAATGCATCTTATTCTATATTCTAACTAAATTGTGTAGGCATGTTATCATTTGGATCCATTTAGGTCACCGTTTTTGTGGGGTTTGCTTTAATTGATGCTTCAGATCCAAGCTTACACCAATACACATACACAGATGAAGGTTGTGTTTGGATAGGCTTTTGCTTTTGTGTTTTTCAAATTATAAAAGCATGAAGCATATTTTTTGTGTTTTTACTATGTGCTTTTGCAGTTTGGTAAAAGTGTTTTCAAAACAACCTTTTCAGAGTAAAAGCATAAATAAGTGTTTCGTAACAACATGTTTCTTTACCACATGTGACATGATAACTTCCACATGTGAAGTTGTCAACAGTTATTTGTTGAAATTTTTTTCTTTGAAGAAGAAAAAGTCATATGACCCACACTGTGCCATGTGGCACAAATTAATGCCACATTGTCACGGGGGTAGTTCTACAGCGGAAGAAACCCGTGCGGCGTCTAGGCCAAGGTAGGCCAGGACAAGCCTTTATGCGCTTAGAGGCTAGGAGTTGCCCGATGGGATGGCTCCACCAAAGTCAATAGCACTGGATCATGACCTCAAGTCCAATGGCCGGGGCACTCTCCTGGCTCAGACCGGTCCATGGGA